ACACACACACACACACACACACACACACACACACACACACACACACACTTTGTCCAAATTTGAGGATTTATAAGGCTGACTCAAAATAACAAGCTGATTAATTTTTGAAAGTGAGTCCAGTAGGTCAAATAGTTCTGCTATATTATCCACCTTCCTGCTTTGCATACAAAGTTGTTTGTATAAGGAATTATCTTGTTAATGCTGGAGAAGAATAACATAGAAATTTCTAATTTCGACTGCCTCATTTCTCCTTCCTCCTTAGGAAAGGTTGGGTTTCTCACCACCTTCTCTCCTTCCCTCTATTTCTTCATCCAGTTTTCCTGTGTGCCTCCCTTTGATTTCACCTTAGGAATATAATAAGTATAGGCCCCTTTTAATTTATTGATACTTTTTCCCTTTCCATTAGGCTAAGCTTCTTGCAATGATGGAGGAGTAGAGAACACCCACATATATTTCTACACATAAGGAAACAAAGCAGAAAATTCACATCATCATGTCAGGTCCAGTATCTTCAAATCCTCACAGAAAATATTTCCTAGTTACAATTCAAAGCCATGAATTCTGAATGGCTACTTGTTCATCACGAGCAATGTGGTAAGGAGAGTGGGGAGGAGCAAACCCTCATATACCATAAGGGTAGTTTTTAATAAGCATCGAAAAATCTGTGATTCAATATGACCAATTTAAGTTTTTTCATCTCTGGAGCCCACACAAAACACTTAGCATTCAGAAGCATTTTATCTAAGCTGGAAGCCCTCTAATGACAATGCCAAAGCCTTCCCTCTTTCCCGGGAAAATGTTTCAGTCAGGACAATGGTGCAGAACACGACTGGCGTAATGGGCAAAGAATTTGGATGAACAAAGCATAAATAGACATGATCATGTTTAGTTTAAAGACCAAAGGCTCAAATGCTTTTTTTTTTAAACCTTTTTTCTTTCAGGCAGAATTTTTCATTTTCCATTTTTGAAAACTTTTCCAAACAATGTGAAAGCACAGCAAGGAGACCAAATAATGAAACACTGTAAGTATTTGCATGCAAAGAAATTCAGGAAACCATGTCTCGTTCTGTGTGCACCTTATTATTATCAATGCCAATGCTTTTCTTTTGATAAAAGTCTTCACTGGAGGGATGTTTGCAAAGCACTTTTTAATAGATTTAAAATGGGAATTTTTTCTTTACAAGTGGCATCCAGTTGAACAGACATTTAACTGTTTAAAAAACTCTTTAAAAAAATGTATCTACACATTCATTCTATAATTAAATTCTCCAAAGAAATTAAAATTTTTATTTGCAGGTATTTTGAGGTCACTTAGGGCTTGTTAAAATGACTTCATTTTAAAAAAATGACTTCATTTTTAGGAATTTTCACTAGTCAGTGGTCAGCATTCCACAAAGATTAACTGATTGCAAACATGGCTTCTAGAAGCAGTCACTTCCCTTCAAAGAGATTCAGGCCACCTTGACTACTATGCTCTGGAGCTTAAAATTATTCAACCTCAATGCTATCACTAACATACACTGGATGGGAGATCCGTTTCTATTCTACTGACTGACTTTTTTAACATTTTTCCTGGCTGCCTTGGCATTTCACCTACCTTCAAATGTAAAAGATCATGCCTCAAAAGATACTCCCAGCATCCCTAGGCCACATTTACTGTGATTTAGAAGTTTTATTATTCCCCCCATGTGTCCTTCAGGCTACAAAACCTGATACCCTTCTACAACACCTTGCCATTCTCCATTCCCTCTTCTACATCTTTTTTCTTTTCTCTTGTTTTTTTTTTCCCTATCAATCTGCAAGTTATGTAGAGGCAGCAGGGTGGTATGTTGGAAGGACCTTGGGCTTTGGGGCTTCTCAAAGTTGGATGTGAATCCTTGGCAGTAATGTTCCAGTAACACTGGGTATCCCTGGACAATAATTACCTTTTTTGAGACATTTTCCCTCATCTGCAAGGGACAGCAGAAATATCATTTGGCTTTCAGGGCCATAAAAGTGAAGAGAGTTGTTACAAAATGCAACAGCATCTGGGGTACATTAGAAATACCATACTCTGTATCCTTTTTTCTTTCATTTAGGTCCAACACCAACTGTCCTCCAGTGTTCTTTTTCCTCACCCTCCCTGCTCTTGTCTGGATGGTCTGTCGGTCACCTTCCATTAACTCTTTTGCAACCTGTGGCTTTTTCCTCATCAACAGGAAACGCTTCTGGCTGGAGTCATTGGTAGCCTCAAGGGGTAGTTTTGGGGACAAGAGACGTTAGCCCACTCTCAATCATCCTCATCAGCCCCACCCCAAGCCTTCCCAAAGAAGTCTACAGTCTCGAGTTTCCTATGCTAACACTGCTGTAAAACAAATCCCCTAATGTCCAGCATCCCCAAAACTATGTGAAATTAGTACATAAACTCTAGGTAAAAAGAGTGTGCTCCCTGTGAAATCTCCTTGCCCCCTTTCCCACCACAATGCTATTCCTAAGCCCCTGGAGGTGAGAAATTCTAGAGCCAGTCACTAAGCCCTACCTACTCTCCCCAAGGTATCAGTGTCCTTGCTGTTATTTATGGCTGGTCCCTTTGTTCTCCTACAGTCCCCGTCTTTCCTCCTGTCTTTGTTCATTGGAACTGGAGTGGCCCCTCCTTCCTCTGACTCAGTGTTGTAGGCCTATTCGAGTGCATTCAGACCCTTCAGTACTGAAGACAGCTCCCTGCCGGGTTTTGTCAATAAGCATGAGGCTCCCCTCAGGAGCTGTCCCAGGACACAAACCTAAGTAGCAGGTAGGTATTTGGTCTGAAGGCAAATCACCAAGGAGAAAAATTGCTAGACATATGCTGAGTAGGGAAAAAAAAAAGAAAAAAGAAAAAGAAAGAAAGAAAGAAAAGAAAAAGAAAAAAAGAAAGGACAAAGGACCAGAGGAGTGAGACAAGGAACACGTTTGACCTCTTACTGATAGAAATTTATTCAGAAATCATGGCAGAATTTTTCGAAGCTTTGAATTAGTGCTTCTGAAGTAGTTTTACTGGTAGCAGCTAAAGTAGTTTTGATAAGGGGAAAGCAGCAAAGGAAATAAGGCAGAAATAGTTGGAAAGTTTCCACCTGATTTAATAAAGGCTATTATTTTGGAGGAATCCTCCAGGGAACTTGCTTAAAACACAAGTTCCTGGGCTCTGTCCCTAGAGAATTTGATCCAGGGTTTGTAGTCAAGCCAGGAATCTGCACTTTAACAAACAGCCTGGTGATTCTGATGGAAGTGGTCCAAGGACCACACTTTGAAAAGCACTGACAGAGACAGTGACGTATAGGAAAGGCCATACACTACGGACATGAAGACCTACTGATGCCACTAGAGCCTAGTGCTGAGGGACCTTGAGCTAATCACTTGCCTTCTTTAATCTTAGTTTCCTTACCAATAAAATGAGGGGTTCGGTGAGATGTCTTTAAGAACAATTCTAATACTGGGGTGCCTGGGTGGCTTAGTCAGTTAAGTGTCCGACTTTGGCTTAGGGCATGATCTCACGGTTCATGGGTTCGAGCCCCGCATTGGACTCTGTGCTGACAGTTTGGAGCCTAGAGCCTGGAGCCTGCTTCGGATTCTGTGTCTCCCTCTCAGTCTTCCCCTCTTCGCTTGTGCTCTGTGTCTCTCAAAAATAATTAAAATTTTCTTAAAAAGAACTTTTCTAATGCTAAGAAATAACCTATTTCCTTACATCATTCTTTATAACCACCACATCGTTTTAAATATTAAAAAAAACAGATATTCTTTTAATGGGCATGAGATGAGGACAAATGTACCCATATTTAGTAATAAAGCAGGTGAGTTTCCTGTGCAATGTTCTGTACATAGCAACAATCCTTCGCTAGTTCCAAAGTGGTTTCTAAGAATTTCTAGCATCATCTTGGAGTCCCAGATCATGGATTTCTTTTTATTCTTTTTTAAATCTATGTTATTTCCCTTCAGTAATTGTACTGCTCAAATATGTTATTTCATCCACTCACTGAACTAGGTTCACACTTTCCTGTTCAGAACAGGAGTAGCTAAGTTTTGAGAGTAGAGAAAAATACTCTTTTAATGTATGAGGGACCCTAAGGTAAAATACTATTTGTAATGGCCCTGACAGAAAAATTATGCCCATTTCTCTAGCTAGCAAGATTATATTAGCAGACTGTGAGCAAAGAGAAAATTTGTTGAGCCTACATGCATCATACTGTACACACTCATTGTCCCTGTATCTTTTCAATTCCTCAGGGCCAGGATCACCCTGGTTTATTCACTCCACAAACATTTATTGGATAGTCTGAGCCAAAACTGTGTGAGGCACTGAGAGTTCAGAAATAAATAAGACCTAGTACCCTGCCTCCCAAGCTATCAAAGAATAGCTTCACAGACTATTAAAGAAGCCACCCATCATCACACAACGGCAATACGGTTTGATAATTACAATAGAACTTAAGTGCAGCCATGGCAGAGAGAAGGGGTGATAAACTCCTTAGGGGTGTGAAATCAAGAAAGGCTTCACAGAGGGGCTTACCTTTAAGAGTAAGAAGGAATTCACCAGAGATGAGGAGAAGGCAAGAAGAAGAAATAGCACATACAAAGACAGAAGGATGAAAGAGTAGATTCTGAGAGCCACAGTCATTTCATGTAACCAAAGGGAAGATTGCACAAGCAATCTGCAAGAGATACTTATAAGAATCCCTAACTTTTAGTGAGCACTTAATATGTGCCAAGTATTATTCTAAACATTCTGTAGGTAGTAATATAGTTAATCCTTAGCACAACCTTCCTGAGGGAAGTATGATTAGTATCTCTATTTGGCAAATGAAGACCTTGTGGCACAAAGATGGTAAGTAAACCTCCCACCCAGGTTTACACAGCCTGTAAAGTCAGTCTTGCTCCAGAGCCCAGGTTTCGAATTGTGCAGCACTATTGCTTCTTATAAATGAGACTGGAGGACGAGGCATAACCCAAATCATTCGAGGTTATCACAAGGAGTCTGGATTTTATCCCACAGACAACAAGAACCTAGCAAAAGTTTGAATTAATAGATCTGTACTTAAGAAGGGTCATTCTATGGGGCGCCTGGGTGGCTCAGTCAAGTTAAGCATCCGACTTCAGCTCAGGTCATGATCCTATGGTCTGTGAGTTCGAGCCCTGCATCCGGCTCTGTGCTGACAGTTCAGAGCCTGGAGCCTGCTTTGGATTCTGTGTCTCCCTCTCTCTCTACCTCCCCTCCACTTGCACTCTCTCCTTCAAAAATAAACATTAAAAAAAAAAGTAAAGAAAAGCCATCGTAGGAGGAAGGTACCGATGGAGCAAGAGAGGGCCAAAATTAGAGGAAAGATGCTGGGGGGAAACTAATGTAATTGTCCTACAAGAGAGGATGAAAATCTTAACATAATTATTAGCAGTGGGTTTGGGAGGAAGAGGTTAGCAGAGTTGGGATTGTTCCTTCACTAGAGTTGGAACCCCTCTTCAAACTACTCTCTGAATTTGACTCATACCCCTAAGGAGTATCTATTTTCACCATTTCTCCCTATTGTCCATATCTGTATTTGGCTTCAGCTCCTGGGTTTCTGATTGTCCATCCTTGGTTTCCACTTCTTACCTGGGCTATTTGATTAGCCAGGGACCAATGTTGAAGCTAGTCTACCCACAGCTGATAATCTTCGGCAGTGTGAGCCCTTCAGTCCCATTAGTGTTCTACCAAAGACACATGGCCTGACAGCAGTTTGGCAACTAAATGAGATGAATACCTAGGAAAATGCCAAGAAAGGGTTCTTGTAGACATAGCAAGCATATACTGTGTCTCTAAATTTGTTTTCCAAAGAAAACTCATCCGTTGTAAACAGCTTCATAAGTCTGTGCATCAACAGGAGATACCTATACATATATACATATACATATACATATATATGTATGTATATATATATATACATATATATATATATATATATATATAGCTTTTCATTCCCTAAAGAAATTCCTATTTCCATTCAGAATTCTAAGATAATTTAACAAATTGTTTAACAATAATTTAACAAATAAACATTATTTGTTAATAATTTAACAAACCTAAGACTGAGGCTGTTGTGGCTTTGTTCCCTTTTGTTTCATAGGCTTAAAAAAAAAAAACCACTAAGGATGACTCATTTTTTTAAAGACAAAGAATCATAGAAAATCTCAAGTTTACATTGAGACAAAATATTCTTCTTACAGTTATTCTGCCATCTTTGCTGAGAGTGAACTGAGTGCCTGGGATTATGACTATGGTTTCTGCTCACCCAAGACACTCCGATGTGCTCCCGAACCAGATGCTTTTAATCCCTGTGAAGATATTATGGGCTATGACTTCCTCAGGGTTCTGATTTGGCTTATTAATATCCTAGCCATCGTGGGAAATGTGACTGTCCTCGTTGTTCTCCTGACTAGTCGTTATAAACTAACAGTGCCCCGTTTTCTCATGTGCAATCTCTCCTTTGCAGACTTTTGCATGGGGCTCTATCTGCTGCTCATTGCCTCAGTTGATTCCCAAACCAAAGGACAATATTATAACCATGCCATAGATTGGCAGACAGGGAATGGGTGTAGTGCAGCTGGCTTTTTCACTGTATTTTCAAGTGAGCTTTCTGTCTACACACTCACAGTTATCACACTAGAAAGATGGCACACTATAACCTATGCTATTCAGCTGGACCAAAAGCTGCGTTTAAGACATGCCATTCCTATTATGCTTGTAGGATGGCTCTTTTCTACTCTAGTTGCCATGTTGCCCCTTGTGGGTGTCAGCAATTATATGAAGGTCAGCATTTGTCTCCCCATGGATGTGGAAACCACTCTCTCACAAGTCTACATATTAACCATCCTGATACTCAATGTGGTGGCCTTCATCATCATTTGTGCTTGCTACATCAAAATTTATTTTGCAGTTCAAAATCCAGAGCTGATGGCTACCAACAAAGATAAAAAAATTGCTAAGAAAATGGCGGTCCTCATCTTCACTGATTTCACCTGCATGGCACCTATCTCTTTTTTTGCCATCTCAGCTGCCTTCAAAGTGCCCCTTATCACAGTAACCAATTCTAAAGTTTTACTGGTTCTTTTTTATCCTGTCAATTCTTGCGCCAATCCATTTCTGTATGCGATTTTCACAAAGGCATTCCAAAGGGATTTCTTTCTGTTGCTGAGCAAATTTGGCTGCTGTAAACATCGGGCTGAACTTTATAGAAGGAAGGATTTTTTGGCTTATACCTCTAACTGCAAAAATGGCTTCACTGGATCAAATAAGCCTTCTCAGTCCACCCTGAAGTTGTCTACATTGCACTGTCAATATACAGCTATCCCAGACAAGACTTGCTATAAAGAATGTTAACTGTTTTATCAGTAACCACATTATTGAGTAGTACTTAAACATGTAAAAAATAATCTGTACCAGTAATTTTAACATAAACAGTTGGTGTTAGGAAACTATTTATTCTCAAGCACATTGAGCAAAAACAAGATATCTACCTAGCTCAAAGTGTTGTCCATGACCATTGCCAATCTAAAAACTACTTGTCATTGGTACATGATGACACAAAATACAAAAACTGAAAGTGTGTAGAAACATTTCTAGCAATTTTGACAGAGTAATTTAATGTCTGTTGAATCTAGTGCTTTTGAATGAGGTGGTATTTTACATATCTTTGCTTCTTTCTCATTTCACCTTTGTAGTAATTTTTACTGCAATTTATAGTCCATTACAGATTTGAAATTTAAAATAACTGGTTCTTTTCCTCAGATGGTTTGAAAAGCACACTGCAGAGATGCACTGCCCAATCTGGTAGCCACTAGCCATATGCAGCTAAATTAAAATTAAAATGTAATTTCTCCCATAGAATTTCTAGAAGAAACTATAGGCTGTAATTTCTTTGACATCGGCCTTAGCAATACTTTTCTAGATAGTGTCTTCGGGCAAGGAGAGCAAAAGTAAAAATATATGCAAATGATATATCTGATAAGGCATCAATATCCAAATATATATATATATATGTATATATATATATATAAAGAAGTCAACATCAAAAAAATCAAATAATCTGATTTTAAAATGGGCGGAGAACCTGAATACACATTTTTCCAAAGAAGATAAAACAGATGGCCAACAGACACATGAATAAATGTTCAACATCACGAATCGTAAGGGAAATGCAAATTAAAACCACAGTGGGATACCACCTTACACATGTGAGAATGGCTACATTCAAAAAGACAAGACATAACAAGTGTTGGCGAGGATGTGGAGAAAAGGGAAACCTTGTCCACTGTTGGTAGGAAGGTAAATTGGTGCAACCACTGTGTAAAACAGTATGGGGCTCGTCAAAAAATTCAAAATAGAAATCCCATCCAACCCAATAATTCAACTTCTAGGTATTTATCCAAAAAAAACCAAACAATAATTTGAAAAGATATATGACCCCTTTGTTTATTGAAGCATTATTTACAATAACCAAGCTATAGAACCAACCCAAGCATCCACAGACAGATGAATGGATAAAAAAGATTTGGAAAATACACACACACAGTGAAATACTACTCAACCGTAAAAAAGAATGAAGTTTTGTCATCCATGAATGGATGGACCTAGACATGGACCAAAAAGGTACTATGCTAAGTGAAATGAGTCAGACAGAGAAAAGAAATACTATATGACTTCACTTACGTGTGGACTCTAAAAATCAAAACAAACTGAAGAAACTTCCTCATAAATACAAAGAACAGATTGGTTGTTGCCAGAGGGGAGAAGGGTGGCAAAATAAGCAAAATAGGTAAAGAGGATAAAATGGTACATATTTCCAGTTATAAAATAATAGGTCACAGGCATAGAAAAGTACAGCATAGAGAATAGAGTCAATAATATTGTAATAACTTTGTATGATGATAGATGGTAACTACACTTACCTGGTAAACATTTTGTAATTTATATAACTGTGAAATCACTATGATTTACACCTGAAACTAATATAATGTTATAGGGTCAACTTTACTTCAATTAAAAATTTTTAAAAAATGTTTAAAAACTTTGTGTGATACTATAATGGTGTATACGGGTCATTATACATTTATCCAAATCCATAGAATGAATGCCAGGAGTGAACTCTTATGTAAATTATGGACTCCGATGAGTCAAAAGAGGTTCACCAATTGTAGGGTATGTGCCACCCTTGTAGAGAATATTGGTGAGGGGGGAGGCCATGTGTTGTGTGGCAGGGGGAGTGGGTATATGGGAAATCTATGTACCTTCCACCCAATCTTGCTGTGAACCTAAAACTACTCTAAAAAATACATTTTACAATTAAAATTTTTGAAAGCAAAAAAATTAAAAATTAAAAAATAAAATAAGTTGCACACATCAGTACTCATCAGCCTATCTATACACTTCAGCATGGTTATCCCTAACCAAGGCTCAATATTTATTTACATTTTAGGTGAGACTTACACATAGTAAAATGGACAAATACCAAGCATACCACTTAGTTTTGAGAAGAGCATACATCCATGTGATCCCAAACCTCTATGAAGACATAGAACACTATCACCTTCAGAAAGTTTCCTCATGCCCCTTCTTTGTTAATCCCTCACTCCCACCACCACCCCAGTGGTAACAATGGTTCTGATTTTTTCCCCATAGATAAGTTTTGCCTGTTCTAGAACTTCATATAAATGGAATCATACAGTATATACTCCTGTGTAAGACTTCTCTGACTCAACACAATGTTTCTGCTATTCATCCAGGCTGTTGTTTGAATTTTCTTTTCATTGTTGAATAGTCCATTCCATTTCATTGCCAAGTTATATGAATATAACACTGTTTTCCACTCTTCCACTGATGGATATCTGGGTTATTTCCAGTTTTTAGCTCTCCTTTGACATTTTATTATATAAATGTATAGTCATAACTAGACTATGTATTTAATCCACCTTCAACCTTTATGTCATTGTGCAAAGTGATCCAAATAGATAAAAGATTTCATAAAATTTACAAAGTATCTCTTCTCTGTATGTTTTTCACATTTCTGACTTTTCTACTATATAACTAGTTACTTCTCTTTACTCTTTACATTTACAGATGCAATCCTCTCTGGTAAGCTAGTGTTCTAGAATTTGTCTCAGTGATATGAGAGAATACTAATTAGTTGTGTGCTACATACATACACAATAAACTTTTTGATTAATTCATAAATCCCAGAACCAAAAGAACTAAGTAAGCAAAAAAGAAGAAGGTAAAACAAAAAAATAAAATATATCCTTGTGGAGAAACTACTTAAATTATGTCTTCTTAAATACTCTTTGAGCCAAGGTACTTGGACACATACTCTGAAAATAACTTTTATGGCCTTTTCCACAAATGTTTTTATTCTCTACATTATAATTTAAGTTACAGCATAGACCTACAGTTTACTATCTCCCTCATCCTCTTATCTTTTCACTCACTAAGACCCGCCAGCTGTTCCTTTCAATTGTCTTCCACATCAATTCTTTATTTTGCATTCTTGCTGTCCCACAGACACTTCAGGCCATTCCCCCTTACCTCAGAAGTGCTATCAAATCTCCTTCATTTTTGTTCATATCCTATCTTTGCCATGTCCATACTCTCATATCCACCACTGATTAATCTTCCTAAAATCCTATTTCATCCTATTACTTACATGCCAAAGTCCTGAGCAGCTCATCAGTATGTATAAATTTAAGTTTTAGCTCCTATCCTAACATTCAAAGAGCTCCAGAACTCATTCTCAAAAACCTGCTCACTTGATCTGCTGCTCTTCTTCTGCAGGCAACACATTGTCCTACTTGCCTTTCCTTAGCTGTGCCCCATGCTTCTGCATTCTGGCACCCATACCACTAGGACCATCTGGAATACCCTCTTCCTTACCTGCCCTCCTTGGGCACCTTTAAGACCCAGCCACAGGTTTATCTTTGCTACCAAGCTCTTCTTAATTCACCCTCTCCCTAATCCATGGAATTTCAGACACCTCCTTTACCTGAAATAAAGCAGGGCGTAGACAATAAATAAGTGACCCAAAGTGATGTCTCTCTTTGGACTTCTTTTGCACTTGTCGTCCCTCTCACTCATTTTTTATTCTACACGGCTGGGTGTTACTACCTTTACACATCTATCTCTTATTTCACCTATCTTATAAATTTCCTTAGTGATACACTCATCTCTTTCACTTGTTTCTCCCACTATATCTATCCTAGAATCTTACACATATTAGGTGATTAATCATTTTTTTCAGCTGATTCACTTTTACAACTAAAAAATAAAACAAATCCTTATGAAGAAGCATTTCCTTATGAGATGGTCTTATAGAAAGCATTTGTATTCTTAATCTGTGTAATCCTTCATACATAAATTATAAAAATATCAAACGCTCCAGAAATTTTTTTCTATCTTGTGGGGGGGTTTTATGCCATGCTAGAGATTATCATTGGCAGATTGCCAAATGACTAAGAAGCATTATTTAATCAAGAATAACTCATCTAAATTTACAGCATATTTTTAAAAGTTACTTTGTCCTCCATTCCTAACATTTGCTGTAAAGGGCCTGGTTTTAGTTTCCTCAGAAATGTATTAAGTCCAGGGGCACCTAGGTGGCTCAGTCAGTTGGGCAACTGACTTCGGCTCAGGACATGATCTCATGGTTCGTGAGTTTGAGCCCCGCATTGGGCTCTGTGTGGACAGCTCAGAGCCTGGAGCCTGCTTTGGATTCTGTGTCTCCCTCTCTCTCTGCCCCTCCCCCACTCACACTCTGTCTCTCTCTCTCAAAAATAAATATTTTTAAAAATAGTTTTTAAAAATGTATTAAGTCCACATGTAAATTAAGAATCTTTATGTCACAAAGATTTCAATAAATGTGTTCCTAACTGGAAATAATCTCTTCTTCAAAATGTCCAATATTTTATTAATATTGAGTTTCTTCCTAAGAGTTATTACCATAGCCTTCCTATTTATAATTTAGCTTTCTAGTTATAAATCACAAAGTTCCCACATGGCATATTAGAGTGTATTTACATGAAAACAGCATAATATTAACCTAATAACAGGAGTCAAAAGAAAATCCCCACTAAATTCCCCAGCTCACTACTCCAATTAAATGTTGCTATTCATTCTAAAGTTATGTATTTTCCTACACAACTAAAATTACTGAAACTGAGTGCTTCGGCCAGAACTGTAACCTCTTTGCCCTGTGGAGTGTGAGCTGTGCAGATGATTATGTGCACAAATTATAGCACATTGAGTAAAATAGGTAAAGAAGGTATTCCAAGCAAGGTCAGTTGGTCAGTCCCTAAGAGACTAACTGTACTAATTCAGCAAGATCTTCTTAGCCTGCAGGGAAAGGTGGAAAGTATGTAAGAAAGCACTGTAGGATGTGAGCATGAGAAAAAGTTTGAAATCGGAATTAGGACACATGATACTTTCACAAATTTCATTTAACACAGAAAACTGTAACCTCTATAATAGAGATACTTTCTCCACTTATAAAAGAGTACAGGATGACATTTGCCAAGGTACTGTATTTACAAGAACTTAGAACCTACCTTATGGAATTTTGTTATAATATACACCAAGAAATGCTCAAGCTTGGACATAATGAGTAAAAGTACTAACTACCATATCAAAGCCAAACCTCAGATAAATACCACCTGTAGGATTTATAGAATAATTTTTTCTTTAAAATGTACTAAATAGGATTTGTCTTACTCTATTTAGCATATGAATTGACAATATTTAACAGGGGGTTTTTTTGTTTATTTATTTTTTTAGATTTATTTATTTTTGATAGAGACAGAGCACAAGTGGGGGAAGGGCAGAGAGAGAAGGAGACACAGCATCCAAAGCAGGCTCCAGGCTCTGAGCTGTCCACTCAGAGCCTGACGCAGGGCTTGAACTCAAACCGTGAGATTGTGACCTGAACCGAAGTCAGATGCTTAACCCGCTGAGCCACACAGGTGCCCCATTTTTTGTTTGTTTTTTTAAGAG